TGAGCGAGCGGCTTTCCTGCTCCACGGGGCACCGGGAGCGGGGCGCCCACCACCCCGAAAGTACAGGCCCGGCCTCGCGTGGGGGCCCCGAATTCCGCCCGGCCTCTTGGCGCCTTCCACTTCGTGGAGAAAGCAGGGGGCACCCCATCCTGGATGCCAGATGGGGAACTGCCGATCGGACTCAAACTCGGGCTCGTGTGGGAAGCCCCAGGCTGTGTAGTCCGCGCGCAGGGCCATTTCTGGGTTTTAGTCCAAGCCCTGCCCAGCAAGCTTGTACCCTTGAGCAAGTCACCCTTCCTCTCTGAACCCGTTTCTGTTATGAAATGATAAACGTTACGACACTGAAGCCACATTAAACTCGAAGTCCTGTGAAGGCAGGGAGTACCACATTAGTCCGCAGTGCCCAGTGCCTGCAAGAATCAGACTGAGCGTTAAGTGCCACTTTCAGCAGCGCATGGCACGGTTATCTCACCGAGGCCCCACAACAGCCCCATGCGATAGGCGGTATTCTGTTCCCAGAGATGAAAGGGGCCAACAAGGTCTATTTGAGAGTCAAAGCTCTGCACCACTAAGGAGGACAGAAGCATTTTGTTTAAATAATACTTTTCAAGTAATGCAGATGCCCCACACTCTGTCCCTCTAACGCCCCAAGACATTAACCACAAAAAGCCTGAAAAACCCTGATTAGTAGCATTTGTTTGTTTTGAGACGGTAGTAGTCTTGCTCTGTCCCCCAGGCTGGAGTGCAGTGGCGCAATCTCAGCTCACTGCAAGCTCCGCCTCCCGGGTTCAAGCAATTCTCCTGCCTCGGCCTCCCGAGTAACTGGGGCTACAGGCACGTGCCACCACGACCGGCTAATTTTTGTATTTTTAGTAGAGACGGATTTTCACCACCTAAGCCAGACTGGTCTACTGACCTGAGGTGACCCACCCACCTCGCCCTCCCAAAGTGCTGGGATTGCAGGCGTGAGCCACTACTCCCGGCCAGCACCATTTGTTGATTTTAGTGATACGCTGGCCAGTTTCAAATCCTGGCCACGCAGTGGCTCACTCCTGTTATCCCAACACTTTGGGAGACCAAGGCAGGAGGATCGCTTGGGTCCAGGAGTACCAGTCTTCAGGGAGCCCCAATGCAGCCACTGCACTGAAGCCTGAGTGACAGAGCAAGACCCTGTCTCTAAAACAGAAACAAAAAATACCTGAAATCTCTCTTCGGACTTTTTTTTTTTTTTTTTTTTTGAGACGG